TCACAACTTCTGAAGGCAAGTTGTTCATGTTAGGGAAGTGTTCAGAAATCGGAGGCTATTTTCCTAGTGCAGCGTTTCCCAAACTTGGCAACTTTAAGACTTGTGGACTTTAACTCCCAGAGTTCTCCAGCCAGAAGAGCTAGCTGGAGAATTCTGGGAGTTGAAGTCCACAAGTCTTAAAGTTGCCAAGTTTGGGAACCACTGTCCTAGTGGCCACAATTCAATGTGGCAGCTTCCAGGATTGCGCCACCCAGATCAGCAAGGAACAGCCTGCCCTCTTTCCCTAACTTGAGCTCACAAGCCAGACCTCCTCGAAAAGAGAGGAGATGGATGTGAGGCCTTATGGGATAGGAAGCAGGCGCAAGGCCTGCAGGGTCCCAGAGAGGCAGGAAATGGAGCATGGGGTGCCTCAACATGGGGGGGCCTGGGCCAAGGCCTGGGCTAGGTTTCCCAGGCTGCCTCTGAGACACCCCATGCTCTGCATAACAACATGCATGCTTGTTTAATGACCAAGAATAGAGATGGGGTAGTCATAAGTGAGGTGATCATAGTGCAACTCTTGTCACAATTTCTGGCGAATGGGCAGGCTCTATTACAGTCGTGAACTGAGGACTAGCTATATGTTAAATTCAGTCAAACTACAAAAAAAACACCCTATGCCCCAATAGAAGTATTTTGCTCTTAATAAATAAATAGGCATTATTTTCTTAAAATAAATAGTAATATTTCAGCAGCATCTAATGTTAACAGTATTTATGTTACCGGTATATACTAATGATTAATAAATAGAAATGATTCATTAGTCATTTTCAGACTTTAAGCTTGTTGATAATGACTCATCTTTTCATCTTTTAATAAACAATTAATTTGTTTAATAGTAAAGCATTACTACTGTTTTCATTATTTTATTCTATAATATTTTAATCATGTAAAAATAATTGAATATTTTAACTTTGCAAATATAATATGAAGCTTTTCTATATTGTATCTTGCTGACTTTATATTAATAATTTACTTGATATATAATTATGTTGAAACTGCTACTTTTCTGTTATACTATATACCACATGATTAATCCTAATTTTTCCCTATATAATATAACATCTCTATTATTTCTTGTTTACCTCACCTTGAATAAGTACTTAAATTTGAAATATACTGTCACCTAGTGGACAAAATGCTCTTTGTATATAACAAATGTAATTATTCAAATTCATAGGACTGGAGTTTCAAAAATTGTCCACTTTACATGAATATCTGAAGTTTCAATTGAATTTCATAGAGTTGAGATGTTTAATTGATTTATTTGAAATGTTTCATTTGTTTGAATGCCAGATTGTCCTGAAGTAGTGCTGTTAGTTTTTTCCTTTGAGGAAATTGATTGATGGGATAGGAGGCAGTGAATTATATAAAATGAAATGTTAAAACAAATCAGAATACATATTAAATCAAACTACTCCAGGCATTCTTCTTATACCATTTTTAAATTTATGGCTGCATATGAATTTTAGTTTGTTTTATCATTTTATTTTTAGCTACATTAAATAACATAATCCTTCTCCCCCCCTCCCAAATGTTTAGTTTGATTTGAAAAGCCAGTTCAGAATAAAATATTCTTGTGTAATTTAAGAACTTAGATTTATTTTTTCTTGGTTTCTAACATTACAGTTTTATTTACTTCATTCAAAAGTAAATTCCAGCAGGCCCTCTCTCTTTCTCTGTTGAATTGCAGACTGCGAGTTCTGATACTGTATAATTCCATCCCATGTGCAAAGCATCCCTGAAGATATGCATGTCTTTTTATCATCAATATTTTTATCCTGCATGACTGGCAAGGATACTTAATATTCTTTTTGCCAATAAATTATTCTTTGCAAATGTTTTTGCCAAGGATGTACAAAGAATGCTTTTAGGAATCACTCCATTCCAGCTGTCCAGTAGCTGAGAAAAAAAAATGGCAGTTCAACCTACATATATTTTTCTTTCAAATTTTATGTGTTGGCAATATTCCTGGTTTTCACACTTAGACAACAACATCTGCTGTTTTAGCACCAAGCTTCTGGAAAAAAGAAAATCTGTGATTATATAGAAATATGCAGGGCCCTTATATTGGAATGCCACCTAAAAAGCACAAAGTTTGTTCATCATTCTAACTTCAATAAATGTGTCTTGTGGATCACCCAGGTGTAAGGATTTGGATAACTGTACAGGATTGTGATCGTTGTTCTTGTTAATAAAGACTATAACTAGGGTGTGTCAAATTTTTCAGTTTTCAATTTCCTAACATTAGTGCTCAAAAATTGTGACATGCCTTGGGGATTGTAAAGATATTTTGGTTACTTTAATGTAATTTAGATGTGCTTGGTAACTACATAAATATCATACCTTTTGTTTCTTTCACCCTCTGCATTGATACAGTAAAATGTTACATATTAAAAGATGTGAAGGGGAATGTTAAGAGAGTGCTTGGAACAGTTTTGTGGAATTCTTAATACTGTTCAACAGAATCTTCGCAGTTTATATTGTAAATGCATTGTTCATTGCATCTGATTAAAAAAAAGTTTAAATTTGTAGATATCTCCAAACTGGATTAGGAGAAAATGAGAAATAAAGCAAGATGATGAGCAGTGTGTCCAATTGGAAAACAGATGACCTATAGATAGCTATGTGGGTTCACCTACAACAGTTGCTAGAGAAGGGACAATTCTCTGTCCCCTCCATAATCCAATTGTAGTGGACTATGTTTGCTAATTACTGTATTTTTAGAGTATAAGACGCATTGGAATATAAGACACACCAAGATTTTGAATCCAATTGTAGTGGACTATGTTTGCTAATTACTGTATTTTTAGAGTATAAGACGCACTGGAATATAAGACACACCAAGATTTTGAAGAGGCAAATTAAAAAAAAAGTTTTTGCACTCTGCAGGCCTCCCAAAAATGGCCCATTTTTTAAAAAGGGCATGAATATCCTTTAGGAGGCTTGTAGAGTGCTCCTGGGGAAGGGGGGGGCACCAATTTTTTTTGTGAAAACTGCCTCCTTTTTGTCAAAAAAAGAGCATGCATAGCCTTTAGTGCTGCTTGGTGGGGAGGAATTGAGCAAAAAAATGGCCCGTTTTTGTTCATTTTTGCCTTCCCCAGCCCCCAGGAGCACCCTGGAAGCCTCCTAAAGGCTATGCACAGCCATTTTGGTGAAGGGGCAGGGTTTCTGGAGGCAAAAAATGCTGTATTCAGTGTATAGATGCACCCCGATTTTCAGCCTCTTTTTTGAGGGAAAAATGTGCATCTTATACTCTGAAAAATACGGTATACAGCAGCATCTGCTGCCACCTCCTATGCTCTAGGACAATGCAAAGTTACCATGTACCATGTTTACTCAAATGCAAGTATTAATGATGTTTGCTTTCTACCTAAGATGCTGCCTAAGATATTTTAATTTAGATGCTACTTGACTTCATATTCTAAATATAATGAATCCAGATGTGACTTTAAGGGAGGGAGCAGTATCAACCTGTCCTGTACAATTCTATTTGTGAAGACACAACCAGTATGTTTGCAAATAATTAATGCAATGTGGTCTTTTTAATCTAATAAGCATCTGTATGTTTAATGTAGATTTATGATGTGTTTTTCCTCTTTCTTTGCCATCATAGTCTTCACAATCTAGCTGGTTGAGCACCGAAGAAAGGAACCAAGCTTTATATGATCTTAAAGCTGCTGGCTGGTCAGAGCTCACTGAAAGAGATGCTATATTCAGAGAATTCGTATTCAAAACCTTTAATCAGGTAAATACCGTTAATCTTGATTTAAGGGAAATACACTTATCTTGATTCTCCCTTGTACTTGAAAAATCCCATATGCTACCAGACCCTGTTATTTAAAGTTTTACAGCTTGATGATGAAGATGATTTTTCTTTAAAAATGATTTTTATTGAAAATTGATACATTGTTTAAATGACAGTAGACCATTGTACTGAATAAGACAATTGAGTCCAAAATTTCCTCTGCTAAGCAAGACAGTTGTTAAGTGGATTTTTGCCCAGTTTATAACCTTTCTTGCCACAATTGTTAAGAAAATTGCCACAGTTGTTAAGTTAGTAACATGATTAATAAGTGAAACTGGCTTCAAGATTGACTTTGCTTGTCAGAAATTTTGGCCCAGGTGCTCACATTTGCGAACCAGTAGAGAAGGTAACTTGATTTCACCCCGGTTGCAACTGTCATAAATATGAGTCAGTTGACAAGTGTCTGCATTTTAATCATGGGATTTAAAAGGAATGCTGCAACGGTTGTAAGTTGAAAATGGACATAAATCTCTATTTTCTGTCCATGGTAACTTTAAATGGTCATTAAATGAATTGTTTTAAGTCGAGGACTACCTATATGCATAAAATATAATTCTCTGGCCCTGAGAGGTATCTATGGGCACCATTGTGGCATCATATGGGCAGAGGTGGGTTGCTGCCGGCATTACTGCTGGCTTGGTGCACGTGCAATTTTGCACACGTGCGTTCACGCACACGTGTGCAATTGCACAAAAATAGATCTGTGCATGTGCAGAACCTTAAAAAAGGAGAAAAAAACATGTCGTCCCCACTAGAGAATCGGTTTGGAGGTGTGGCGGGCCTAGGACCCAGGCCTGGAAAGCACTACCGGTTTGGCCGAACCAGTAGGAACCCACCTCTGCATATGAGGAATCTCACAAAGATATAAGACTATTTTACCATTTATATATTTATATCCTTCATATCACTCATGTTTATTTTGAACAGCCTACCTTTTGAAAATAACTTCATTACTTAAGTGAATATCCTCTCAAAAAGAATCCCTTTCAGAATAATTTGACTGGATGTATTTTTAATTTTTTTTCTATTTTTCTATTTTTTTTCTTTTTGAACTTTTTATACTTTTTATATTTTTAAAACACACACCATAGGGCTGGAAGAGACCTTGGGGGGGAGGGCTTTTCTAATCCAACCCCCTGCTCAAAGCAGAAAGCCTGTTGAAAAATCATACAAATCATAATTTAAAAAAATCCTACGCTCAAAGTTACATTCCCAAATCCTAAGAGACACTCTAGCAGACCAATTCTGAAAACTTGGAAAACCAAGAAGAAGGCACCCACCCCCCCGAAGTCAGACAAGAATGACATTAAATGGCCTGTCACTCACTCACTGTCACTGTCACAATATTCTTTTGGCTTTTTCTAGGTGGAACTATAAAGTGTATAGTTGAAAGGTCAAAGACATGGTATTCCTTATTTTTGTATGCTCTTAGGAGGTTTCCTTTTTCTGCTGTATGATCAGCTGGGCTTCCTGTTTATTTTGGCCAAATGGCAATAAAAGAGACAAGGATATTTAGAAATTCTTCATGTTGAAGAATTACAGGACTGGCTGGAGTACTTGAAAGCTGTTTACAAAACTGCTATGTTTATTAAATAAAGGCTTCAAGTTAAATACTTGATTTAGCTTTCTGCGAAACTTTTCAAGCTCTTATATCTAAAAGTGAGAAAGTAAACTCTACATGTGTATCAGGGCTGCATCTAATATCTAAAATTGGAACATCTTTCCAAGGTTGCCAGCTTAACTTTTATGATTATGTTACATATATGTGTATGTGAATATTCAAGGCAATCTTGGTTCCTGACAACTGACTTGACATTCAGTTTTCTTGCAACATTTTGGTTTTTCACTGCCTCCTTCCTAGAGCTGGGAGAGAGCTAATGGCCCAAAATCATACAGCACACTTCGTTCCTAAGGTAGGACTTGAACTCAGAGTCTTCTAATTTCTAGTCTGGTGCTTTTAACTATTACACCAACTAGCTCTTTTTCAATAAAATAATAGGTTTAGGGAAAGATTCCCAATAAAACAGAACAATTGTAAATAATACCTGTAGAAAATCCTGCTTAAGTGAATAGGACTTTCTGGAAGGGTAGATTTTTAAAAAGATTGTTGCCTTCATCGGCAATTATTTAAAAATAATTTTTAAAATACCCTGAATTATTATTTAAATAATGATTTAAAAAACCTGAAATGATAATCAATGTTCTTTCACACTTATTCATGCCATGATGTAAAACATGTACTTGATAGCAAATCGTATATTTTTAAGTATTGACATTTCATAGCTAGCAATAGCAATAGCAGTTAGACTTATATACCACTTCATAGGGCTTTCAGCCCTCTCTAAGCGGTTTACAGAGTCAGCATATCGCCCCCACAGTCTGGGTCCTCATTTTACCCACCTCGGAAGGATGGAAGGCTGAGTCAACCTTGAGCCGGTGAGATTTGAACCGCCGAACTGCAGCTAGCAGTCAGCTGAAGTGGCTGCAGTACTGCACTCTACCCACTGCGCCACCTTGGCTCATTTAGCTATAAGATTCATAAGACTAAAGTAAATCTAAAATGCAAATTTTTTTCTGTATTATCTACATTCAATAACTTAATATTCTATCTATTCTGCAGCTTTTACCTGCGATTCCTGCAGGAACTGTAAACCCATAAAAACCTCCAGGTGTACGCAGAAGGAATGCCATCACATCCAGAACCAGAACAGAACAGAATAGAATAACAGAGTTGAAAGTCCCAAAGGTGCTTTTTTGGACTTGGATGACTGAGAATCTCCATAGACAAAAGAGTTGGAAGGGACTTTGGAGCCGAGGTGGCGCAGTGGTTAAATGCAGCACTGCAGGCTACTTCAGCTGACTGCAGTTCTGCAGTTCGGCTGTTCAAATCTCACCGGCTCAGGGTTGACTCAGCCTTCCATCCTTCCAAGGTGGGTAAAATGAGGACCCAGACTGTGGGGGCGATATGCTGACTCTGTAAACCGCTTAGAGAGGGCTGAAAGCCCTATGAAGCGGTATATAAGTCTAACTGCTATTGCTATTGCTATCTTCTAGTCCAACCCCCTGCTCAAGCAGGAGACCCTATACACAAAGATGCTTCTCCAAAAGGCAACTGGACTTTCTTTTTTCCCCCCTTTGAAACTGTTTTGCTTCCCATCAAAGAAGCTTCTTCAGTTCTGAAGATGAGAATTCAAATGTTTTCAAAGAAAAAAAATCAAGGGAGTCCAGTTACCTTTTTGAAAAGCCAGATTCTGGATGATTGAGAATCTCTATAGACAGAGACCCTATACCATTTTAGACAAATGATTGGCCAATCTCTTCTTAAAAACCTCCCGTGATGGAGCACCCAGAACTTCTGAAGGCAAGCTGGTCCACTGATTAATTGTTCTAACTATCAGGAAATGTCTCCTTAGTTCTAGGTTGCTTCTTTTCTTGATTAGTTTTCATCCACTGCTTCTTGTCTTGCCTTATGGTGCTTTGGAGAATAGATTGATTCCCCCCACCCACCCTTTTTTGTGGCAGTCTCTTAGATAATTGGAACACTGCTATCATGTTATCCCTTGTACTCCACGTCATTCTTAGTCCTAACCAAATACAAATTATCTTGGAATTGGATGACGTTTGAATGAGGAGCCATTCTATCTTGCTGTGTGAAGCCTGAGTTAATTTCTTCTTAAGCAGATAGTAACAACTTCCAAGCACTGAGATCAGTGGTGTATTAACCATTAAGCAGACTAAGCACATGCTTAGGGCACCAGGTCCAAAGGGGGCACCACAAAGTTGAGAAAGAAAAAAAGTGCAATGAAGATTTGTGCAGTATGTACAAAGGAGGGGCACCGAGATTTGTCCGTACTTAGGGCACCAGTAAGTCTTAATCCACCACTGACTGAGATGAGACTTCTGCCTCATCTCCTACTTGATCTGGAATGGAGATAAACTACTGCATATCACAAGCATAAAGATGATGCCTCTCCCAGCAGCTTCATGTAAATGCTGAGCATTACGAGGGAAAAGAATGAGATCTGTAGCACCCTGCATTGAAATATCCAGGGCTCAGTCTCTCCTCCCACCCCCACCCCAATTGCCACTGTTTGGAAGTGCCTGCTGTGGAAGAAGTAAAAACAATGGCAGAACAGTGTGTCTAATCTTAACCTTGTAGGTGACCCAGGATATCACAATTGGAAGCTGTGCAGAGATTTAGCAGGAGCCAAGGGATTGCACTCTTCCTATCCAAGTGTGTCATTTGCATAAACAACCAGCATCATTTCTATCCCATACCTGGGTTTGAATCCTGACTGGGAAGGGAAACTCTGTGAATTCTTTCTTGGCTAATAAGTGATAGTTGTTGAGAAAAAATTCATGCAGAGTGCAGTTGATCTAGAAATACCTTTTTGAAATCTACAGCAAGATTCTAAGGCATGCCAAGCAGAGATTATTTCCATGTGATGCCACTCCATCAAAACATAAAAAGAGGGGAAAGCCGCAGATGAAAAATAATAATGTACAATTTTAATGTGACTCAAATGTATCAATTTTTATTCTTCCTGATGAAATTGCTGTCTTATACCATTATGTTATGATATAAACTTTATTTTAAGATTAATCTTAGATACATTATCTTATATAGGATACCTTTGAGAGTTTTGTATCAACAGTGATTTGAATCTTATGTGTGGTATGTGGACTTATTCATACCCTATTTATATGGCCCTAAGACTTACAGTTTGTTTTTGCTAAGTGTGACAAGTGAACTGATTTATAATGGTTTATAAATTGTGGCTTTTTTCTTGGGATGGTTCTTCTCATCAAACAAAACCAAATAAAATCACATTAAAAGATAATTATGTTATCTTATGTTAACCAGGCTTTTGTACCTGATTTAACCAATCACACATTATAAAGATGTTATAGATTATTAATTAATTTGTAAAAAAACCTCT